TTTCAATTCATTAGGGAGTGAGTTCCATAGACTGGGTCCCTTTATTTGCCTAGAGTGTTTACACAGATTACGTTTGACTCTGGGGATATCAAAGAGATATTTATTTCTGGTGTGGTGATAATGGGTCCTATTACATCTGTCCAGGGAGAGTTTCAGAGCAGGATTTGCATTTAAGAACAGGGTTTTGTAAATGTAGTTGACACAAGAGAATATGTGGAGTGAGATTATGTTTAGCATGTTTAGGGAGTTAAACAAGGGGGCTGTGTGTTGTCTGAAAGCAGAATTTGTTATGATTCTGATAGCAGATTTTTGCTGGGTGATGATGGACTTGAGGTGGTTTGCAGTGGTTGAACCGCATGCACAGATACCATAATTAAGATAGGGATAGATTAGTGCATAATATAGAGATGAGAGCAGAGTTAGGTACATAATATCTGATTTTGGAGAGTATACCAACTGTTTTAGAGACACTCTTAGTTACGTGTTGTATAGTTGTATGTGGGTGCTGAAGTTGAGTCTCTTGTCTAGGAATAGGCCAAGAAACTTTCCATCATTTTTATTATTAATGTTTACATTGTCTATCTGAAGCTGAATTGCATTTGTAGATTTGCTCCCAAATAAGATGTAGCAGGTCTTTTCTATGTTAAGTGTTAGTTTGTTGGTTGACATCCATAAGTGGACTGATGTTTGATGATGGTGAAGATGCTTGATGGTACTGGCCCTAAGGAGGGTGGAGGCGTTTAGAAGGGAGGCGGCCCTTAGGAGAGAGGTGGTGGTCCTTAGGGAGGTGGTGGCCCTAAGAGGGTGGCTGCTCAGTCACTTGAGTGCCAAGGATGCTCAAGAAATGGGATGACAGCGATTGTTACTTAACATCAACAAAAACTAGAAGTGGACACTTTTTTAACTTCATTTTAATCAATACCAATCAGCATATGTGTCACCATCAACCATAATGTGTTTGACCATCTGCGTGTGCTCTCAGGTGTCAAATGCGTCAAGTGGATCGTGGCTCCAGAGTGCTACACCCCGAGTGTCAGCTTCTCCTTCTTCCGCATCTCCGGCCGGACCAGCGACTGTGACGGCGCCAGCTGCTGCTACGCCGAGAGCCTCGAGATCAGGACCTCCAGCCTCTTCTCCGGTGATGTGTGGGTACCGGGTGATGACTTTTGGGGTTGCTAGTGGATGGTGGCCAGCTGTTGATGACTGGTGGAGTTGCTAGTGGATGGTGACCAGCTGTTGATGACTGGTGGAGTTGCTAGTGGATGGTGACCAGCTGTTGATGACTGGTGGAGTTGCTAGTGGATGGTGGCCCGCTGTTGATGACTGGTGGAGTTGCTAGTGGATGGTGGCCAGCTGTTGATGACTGGTGGAGTTGCTAATGGATGGTGGCCAGCTGTTGATGACTGGTGGAGTTGCTAGTGGATGGTGGCCCGCTGTTGATGACTGGTGGAGTTGCTAGTGGAGGGTGGCCCGCTGTTGATGACTGGTGGAGTTGCTATTGGATGGTGGCCAGCTGTTGATGACTGGTGGAGTTGCCAGTGGAAAGTGGCCAGCTGTTGATGACTGGTGGAGTTGCTAGTGGATGGTGGCTAGCTGTTGATGACTGGTGGAGTTGCTAATGGATGGTGGCCAGCTGTTGATGACTGGTGGAGTTGCCAGTGGAAAGTGGCCAGCTGTTGATGACTGGTGGAGTTGCTAATGGATGGTGGCCAGCTGTTGATGACTGGTGGAGTTGCTAGTGGATGATGACCAGCTGTTGATGACTCTTGGGGTTGCTAGTGGATGGTGGCCGGCTATATACATCATGTGACTAAAGTCTACAGCACAGTAAAAGTAAAAATTTGGAAACTATAGAAATTTAAGTAATAGATAAGTTAGTCATACTTGAAGAAGAAATTACTCAATGGAAACGTAGATTATGCCAATATAAACTATATCAAGTTACTTAATTTAGTGAACTATGAATCTTCTGGTGTGACGTGTAACCTTAGAAATTGGATCAGAATTGTATTTGGGGAATATTGATTGTTACACTTGGGAGCCTGTGAGAGGACGAATAGAGGCCCACAAGCGTTACCGGCCACCTCCGCGCCCAGGGGGGAGAAGAAGGAGCTCTGGCAGCCTCCTCCCCGCCCTTGGTGCTGGTTTGGTCCAACAGATCCTCCAGTAACCACTTACTTAACCTCTACTACTATATTTAATTGCCAACATTCAATTCCTAGTATAACTGTAACATCCTAGCTTTACATATCTACAAAAAAATCGCCACAATATGTCTAATATATCTCGGAGCCCCAAATGCTCTTACGTCTGGCAGGGACTCAATCGTCCGCCATTTTCCGATAAGAACCAACATGTGTATAACTTACATTAGATATAAAAAAAAAATAAAATATAATTTATTATATTTATATTTAAACTATTTAATTATCACAACATATTTTCTTCACATTCAGGGGCCTACCACAATAAAATACATCTAAGGTCGCTCACATTCTCTATATAAACAAATGCTGTACGAGCCTGGTTCCCATGTGCAACACTGGGGCCAGGGTCATAACAGTGATATTAAACATGGTGGTCTTATTAGGTACTGACAGGTACTTCTTGTTCAGGTTCTGTGGGAGGGAGATTGTTGCCGGCAATGTCTTCAACTCCTCAAGCAACCAGATGATCCTGTACTTTCAATCCTCCTCAAATGTCTACAAAGGCTGGTCCGCTAATGTGACGTTTGAGCTGTCTCCTGAGTGTCAGTAAGTGTATCTCCTGAGTGCCAGTAAGTGTATCTCCTGAGTGCCAGTAAGTGTATCTCCTGAGTGCCAGTAAGTGTATCTCCTGAGTGCCAGTAAGTGTATCTCCTGAGTGTCAGTAAGTGTATCTCCTGAGTGTCAGTAAGTGTATCTCCTGAGTGCCAGTAAGTGTATCTCCTGAGTGTCAGTAAGTGTATCTCCTGAGTGTCAGTAAGTGTATCTCCTGAGTGTCAGTAAGTGTATCTCCTGAGTGTCAGTAAGTGTATCTCCTGAGTGTCAGTAAGTGTATCTCCTGAGTGTCAGTAAGTGTATCTCCTGAGTGTCAGTAAGTGTATCTCCTGAGTGTCAGTAAGTGTATCTCCTGAGTGTCAGCAAGTGTATCTCCTGAGTGTCAGCAAGTGTATCTCCTGAGTGTCAGTAAGTGTATCTCCTGAGTGTCAGTAAGTGTATCTCCTGAGTGTCAGTAAGTGTATCTCCTGAGTGCCAGTAAGTGTATCTCCTGAGTGTCAGTAAGTGTATCTCCTGAGTGTCAGTAAGTGTATCTCCTGAGTGCCAGTAAGTGTATCTCCTGAGTGTCAGTAAGTGTATCTCCTGAGTGTCAGTAAGTGTATCTCCTGAGTGTCAGTAAGTGTATCTCCTGAGTGTCAGTAAGTGTATCTCCTGAGTGTCAGTAAGTGTATCTCCTGAGTGTCAGTAAGTGTATCTCCTGAGTGTCAGTAAGTGTATCTCCTGAGTGTCAGTAAGTGTATCTCCTGAGTGTCAGTAAGTGTATCTCCTGAGTGTCAGTAAGTGTATCTCCTGAGTGTCAGTAAGTGTATCTCCTGAGTATGGAGGTTCTTTATTGTCTTGGATCTTCTGTGTGTGTGTACTCGCCTATTTATCCCTGCAGTATCGAGAATTGGCTCTTGGATCCCGCCTTTCAGGCCGCCGGTTGTTTAAAGCAGTTACTCCTGTCATATTTACTTTTAAAATTATGAATAGAGTTTTTTCCACAACCTGCTCCATTAGTTCATTCTATTTTCCTACTTCTCTTACACTTAAACTCTTACACACTAAATGAAAACTTTCTGACATCTCTATGACTCATCTGAGTTTCCAGTTTCCACCCATGTCCCCTTGTTCTGTTGGTATTCAGTGTGAAAATTTCGTCTATTTCCACTCTGTCAGTCCCCCTAAGTATTTTATACGTCCAAGATGGGGCGGCATACTCTAAGACTAGTCTCACGTAGGCCATGTAAAGCGCTCTAAATGCCGCCTTACTTAGATTTCTGAATGAAGTTCTAACTTTTGCCAGCTTCTGTCATTATCCTATTTATCGCTGCTGTCATTATCCTATTTATAGCTGCTTTCATTATCCTATTTATATGTGCCTCAGGAGTTATATTAAGAGTTACGTCCACTCCCAGGTCTCGTCACAGGAAGGTAGTTTCCCTTCATTGTGTACTGTCCCTTTAGTCACTTGTCACCTAATCCCATTTCCATAACTTTACACTTGCTCGTGTTGGACTCCAGTAGCCATTTATCCAACCATCTGTGCAATTTGTTCAAGTACTCTTGGAGGATCCTACAGTCTTCATCTGTCACAACTCGTCTCAACTTTGCCCATCCTTCTTCTGTCTTGCCTTAATCTTGTTACTTTGTCATAGAATTTCAGAAGGTTTGTTAGGTATGATTTCTCTTTCCTGAACCCATGTTGGTGTTTAAGTACCTAATTCTCTCTAAGTGTGTAACCAGTCTACGCCTGATTATTTTTCAAGTACTTTGCAGGGATTGCTTGTCAGTGATACTGGTCTGTAGTTAATTGCCTCTTCCCTATCTTCTTTCTTGAAATCTGGTACTACATTTACCGTCTTCCAGGAACTGGGCAACTCTCCATTTGTAAGTGACTCGTAATTAAAGAGCTTTGCTAGAGGCACGCTGAGGACCTGCACTGCTTCTTTTAGTATCCACGGTGATACTTTGTCTGGTCCAAATGATTCAGTTTCATCCATTGTTGTTAGCTGTTTCATTACTTCCTCTGCTGCCACTTCTATATCTGTTAGTCTCTCATCTTGGGTCATCACCTCTTCTAACAATGGAAGCTGTTCAGGCTCGGTTGTGAACACTCCATGGAAACTAGCATTCAATACCTCGCAGATTTCCTTGTCGCTTTCTGTATATGCACCTTCTGTTTTCCTTAGTGTTGTTACTTGGTCGTTCACCAACATTTTAATTCTTATATACCTATGTAGTAATTTAGGTAGCTTTCCTGCTTTGATTGCAATGTTGTTCTCAAAATTTATTTCCGACACTCTCCTTATATTTATGTATTCGTTCCTAGCTCTGTTGCATCTATTCCTGTTGTCCTCTGTTCTTTTTCCTAGGTACTTCTTCCACTCCCTCCTGTTTCTCATTTAGGAGCAGGAGGGTGTGCTCCATGCTTCATCATGTACTCACCTATTTGTGCTTGCGGAGTTGAGCTTTGGCTCTTTGGTCCCGCCTCTCAACTGTCAATCAACTGGTGTACAGATTCCTGAGCCTACTAGGCTCTATCATATTTACATTTAAAACTGTGTATGGAGTCAGCTTCCACCACATCGCTGCCTAATGCATTCCACCTGTTAACTACTCTGACACTGAAAAAGTTCTTTCTAACGTCCCTGTGGCTCATTTGGGTACTCAGTTTCCACCTGTGTCCCCTTGTTCGCGTACCACCAGTGTTGAATACTTTATCGTTGTCTACCCTGTCAATTCCCCTGAGAATTTTGTAGGTAGAGATCATGTCTCCCCTTACTCTTCTGTCTTCCAGTGTCTTAAGGTGCCTTTCCCGCAGCCTTTCCTCGTAACTCATGCCTCTTAGTTCTGGGACTAGTCTAGTGGCATACCTCTGAACTTTTCCAGCTTCGTCTTGTGCTTGACAAGGTACGGGCTCCATGCTGGGGCCGCATACTCCAGGTTTGGTCTTACGTATGTGGTATACGAGATTCTAAATGATTCCTTACACACGTTCCTGAAGGCTGTTCTGATGTTAGCCAGCCTCGATATGCCGCAGACGTAATTCTTTTCACGTGGGCTTCAGGAGACAGGTTTGGTGTGATATCAATTCCTAGATCTTTCTCTCTTTCCGTTTCATTAGGTACTTCATCTCGTATTCTGTATCCTGTCTCTGATCTCCTGTTTCCACCGCCTAGTTTCATTACTTTGCATTTACTCGGGTTAAACTTTAGCAGCCATTTGTTGGACCTTTCATTCAGTCTTTCTAGGTCGTCCTGTAGCCTCCTACTATCATCCTCTGTTTCAATCCTTCTAATAATTTTTGCATCATCAGCAAACATTGAGAGAAACGAGTCTATACCCTCTGGGAGATCATTTACATATATCAGAAACAGTATAGGTCCAAAGACTGACCCATGCGGGACTCCACTCGTGACGTCACACCAATCCGAGACCTTGCCCGCTCGCAGTGACTCGTTGTCTTCTGTTGCGTAGGTACTCCCTTATCCAATGGAGTGCCTTCCCTTTCACTCCAGCCTACATCTCCAGCTTTTTCACTAGCCTCTTGTGTGGTACTGTATCAAAGGCTTTCTGGCAATCCAAAAATATGCAATCTGCCCATCCCTCTCTTTCTTGCCTGATTTTCGTTGCCTGGCCGTAGAATTCAATTAGCCCTGTGATGCAGGACTTGCCATCACCTGAAACCATGTTGATGCTGTGTTACAAAGTTCTTTCGCTCCAGATGTTCCACTATCTTTCTTTGCACAATCTTCTCCATCAGCTTGCATTGTATGCAGGTTAGAGACACTGGCCTGTAGTTCAGTGCCTCCTGTCTATCCCCCTTTCTTGTATATTGGAACTACATTAGCTGCTTTCCAAATATCTGGCAGTTCCCCTGTTGCCAGTGATTTGTTATACACTATGGAGAGTGGCAGGCACAGTGCTTCTGCTCCTTCCATTAGTATCCAAGGGGAGATTCCATCTGGGCCTATAGCTTTTGTCACATCCAACTCTAGTAAACACTTCCTTACTTCCCCGCTGGTAATCTCAAACTCTTCTAGTAGTCCTGGTTAACTATTCCCTCTCTTATCTCTGGAATTTCTCCTTGCTCTAAGGTGAAACCTCCTGGAATTTCTTATTTAGTTCCTCACGCACTTCCTTGTCGTTTGTAGTGAATCTTTCTGCCAGTATCCTTATTTTCATTACCTGTTCCTTTACTGTTGTTTTTCTTCTGATGTGGCTATGCAACAATTTAGGTTGAGTCTTTGCCTTGCTTGCGATGTCATTTTCATATTGTCTTTCTGCCTCTCTTCTCATCCTGATATATTCATTCATGGCACTCTGGTATCTTTCTCTGCTCTCAAGTGTCCTATTATTCCTATAGTTTCTCCACGCCCTTTTACTTTTTTGCTTATCTAGCCTACATCTCTGATTAAACCAGTCTCCGTGGTGTAGAGGTAAGACACTCACCTGGCGTTCCGCGAGTGCTTTGTCATGGGTTCGTATCCTGGCCGAGGAGGATTTACTGGGCGCAAATCCTTAACTGTAGCCTCTGTTTAACTCAACAGTAAAATGTATATTTGGTTGTAAAAACGATTCTTCATGGGGGTCGTATTCCAGGGACCTGCCCGAAACACTACGCGTACTAGTGGCTGTACAAAAATGTAACAACTCTTGTATATATCTAAAAAAAAAAAACATGGGTTTCTCATCTTCATTTCATTGTTTTCCTTTTGGACTGGGACAAACTTGTTTCCTGCTTCCTTACACTTCTGCGTGATGTAGTCCATCATGTCTTGGGCCGTCTTTCCCCTGATTTCTGTTTCCCATGTTATATCTGTTAGGAATTTTCTTAACTCCTCATAGTTTCCCTTTTGGAATGCCAGTTTTTTGTTTTCAGTACCCCTCCTCGAGTTCTATAACCCTTCCTTAACCAGATACTCAAACGCCAGTACACAGTGGTCGCTCATTCCTACTGGGCCCTCAAAGCCGATTTCTCTTATGTCGGAGTCGTTCAAAGTGAAGACTAG